AACTGTCAGTGCTTTGATTATTGCCTACATTTAAACTGACAATGGGTAAAATGTACTCCTATAGAATCCTTTTTGTGCTTTTAATTCTAAGAGTCTTTGTCTATATCGTGCGTAATAGAGTTGCATCGTAAGTCAATGGCTAACCTTTAATGTGCATAAGAGTTATGAATACAAATCAGACATTAGACTTGCTCAGTGCAATGAGTGAAGGAGAGTCTGTCAGTTTTGTCTTGAATCTATAATATATATATACACTAGATACTCAATCTTAAATTGTAACCTATATACCTTATAGAGTAAGTAGCAACGTCAAGTCATGGAAACAAGAGGACCATAGACACACAGTTGTCTGTAGTATTCCTCATCATCAAATCCTTCAACCAAACCACCTCTGTGACAAAATATTTTAGGGATAGACATGACTACAGAAATAGCTTTTACTACAGATGTTTGGGAGTGGACAGATGTTTGGGAGTGGAGTAGGTAATGTGACTGAGGAATGAACCTGCACTGACTGCACTGCACTTAGCTGCTACGGTTAATTTGAAGTAAAGTTTATATAATCAGAACTACGGTTTTAGCATTGGGCCATCCTCCATGCTGAGAATAAACAAATCACCAGCTGCTTGGACATTAAAAACCCCTGGCTGTTCTAGTGTTACAGCTCTACATACATGCTACATCATTACATGCTCTTTGTTGTGCCATTAGTGACCAAATGACCAAATGTCATATCTTTGTCCATGTGAAGCCGTTTTCTAATAATTAATTTTTTTCTATACGAACGCCCTTTGAACATAGACTTTTGTTTATATGTTTGGAAGTCAACTGCCTGACTAATTTGACAGCCTTAGACATACAAGACTGTACTTTTTTATTTTGACCCAGTCCATGCTGATTCAAAGAAAATTTTAAACTATTCCTCAGTAATTGGTAAGTAATGCAGGACAGGAGATTTCATTTTATGTAACCTAATGTGTGTGAACGTGTGTGTGTGTGTGTGTGTGTGTGTGGACACATGTTAAAGGCTTTTCGCACATCTTTAGTTTTGCTGTATAGGACATGGCATGATGTTATTGGCATGATAGCAGAAGAAAACCACCCCAGGGATAAGATACACACTGATAAGCGCACATACTGAGGATATGTGTGAATAAATGATGGAGGCACTCATGCCTGTGGGGGAATGATATGTTTGTATGGAGGCATTTATTGAAGGGCACCATAAGTTACATTTGAGTTTCATGGATGCTTATCTTAATGTTTTGATTTGTGTGTGCGTTTGTGTCAATGTGTACGAGACATTGTGACAGTCCTATTGCAGCATCAGTGCCAGTTACTAGCTGTACTGAAACAGCTTTCTGTTCCCCTAAATCATAAATGTGTGAAATTACACACAAAAACACATCAATGAAAGAAAACACATTTTACACAAAATGTTTGCTGTCATTGCAAACACAGAAACATGAAAGGTAAATGGAAGGAAACCAGAGCTCCTGGAGGAAACCCACAGGGAACACATGCAACCACCACACAGAAGCAATTTATTCAAATACAGTATATTCTGTAGGAAGGCATAACAAGAACCCAGCGTACTTCTACGTTGTTGTTTCATAGGACGGAAAAGAGAACATACGGTTCTGCCTTTATTGTGGAAGGCACTTATGTTCCAGTTCAACAAAACATAAATTGGCACAAATTTCAAAGCCACTGTTTTTCTAATTCACATGCAACTCAGAAAGCACATTTATATTTTATATACTGTTACACACATTCACAAGCTGCTATTTACAACAGCTGCCTTGTGCTGCCAGTACTGTACTTTTGCTAACTAAGACAGCTTGCATTACATGAAGCTACTTTATAAACTCATGTTTTTGTTATCAAACAGAAGCACGGCACTGCATCTTTCTTCTTGAATTCATGCTGGACCAAAATCAGCTATTTTAAAGAAAAAAGGTGAGATGCAAGTTTGTTCCTGTTCTCTGAGTTTGTGAAGGGTCAAAGGGTTGACATGACAGACACAATGAGAGCTGTGAGTGTGTGTAAATGTGTGTATTTGTGTGTGTGCCTGCTTGCCTGCATGTGAGTACATCTATCAGAAGGCGAGTGTGATGGTGTTAGAAGACAACTCAGAACAGAGAATAGTGTTCTGTCACTCTTATATAACTCCAACAGAAAGCCACAGGGCGGCTGTCATTTTGCCACAAATGCTTTGTCTATGTGTGAGTGAGTCAAAGTTTTATGTGTGTGTCACTCAGCAGGACAGCCAAGGCAGCGTTACATGTTTTCCTGCTCAACTGTGTAGGGGTTACACTACTTAATAATAAAGGTAATTAATCACTGAAGATTAATAATACACTCGTAAATGGGACACCACCTCCGTTGTTTAGCTACTGGAATAATCTGGAGGAAATTATTCCACAGATCTAATCAAATCAATTTATTCAATTTCAAATTCTATATTCAATCTCATATTCTATATTCAATCTCATGTTCTGAAGTAGTGATTTCTTTTACACGATTCCTCGATTTCCCCGCATAAAATCAAACCTGCGACTGCACAGACTCAGACATATGGTTAAATATATATTAGTTTATTGATAAATAATCAATGAGTGTAGGCATGAATGGATAATGAAATGGGAGTGATATGTATACACAACAACAACAACAGGAATACCGTGGGACAAAATAATGAATTATGATATTGGATGATCAGAAGATGATGAATGATGAAATTTTTGTATAATCGGTGGCGAATTTAAAAATTTACGGAAGTAATTAGAAAGTTTACCAGACCCCTAATGAAAAGGAAAAACCTCTAAGCTAAGACGATGCTTGACCAGAGCTTCATAGCGACACCAAACTCTTTTCATGGTGTGTGAACCCAGCAGTGTGTGCAGTTTAAGCCTACCTTTTGTCGTAGATATGGAGGACTTCAGGAGGTTTCTTCCTCCGGCTGGTACTGCAAGGCTGCGGTTCAGAATTCCCAGTCCAAAAAACGTATCACCACGAGTACCCATTCTCCTGGGGGCCCTGTGCGCAATTTGCACGGTCGATCCTTTGGGCAATATGGCTGGGAGAATACAACGATTGTCCGGCTGGAACAGTTCGTGTTTTCCTGAGGCAGTGACCGCTGCGGCTTTCTGGGTTAGGCAGTCTTTCAAACTTCAAAGAGTGGTGGTCCACAGCTCTCGATGGGACTTAATCCTACTCTCGTCTATACTAACGGGGAACAAACGCTGGCCTTGCGAACCTCCGTCGTCACTAAATCCAAGAAATTGAATTAGTTCACGTTCTGTGAAATAGGCGATAATCTGCGATACATATATAAACTTAGACTATAAACTTTTGATTCTCGCGGTTTCTGGAGGCTTTCAAAATAATAAAAGTACTGAAATCAGTATTAACTAAGTGATTAATTATCAGAGGATACGAAAAACAAACTGGAATGAAGCGCTAAGCATAAGATAAGAAAAATAAACGAAACAAAATGAAAAAGAAAAGAAAGTAAGAAGAAGTGAGATAAAGTTTAAAAAGTTAAGTTAAAGCTAAAGTGATCCGAAGAAGGAGTGACCAGAGTCTTATATCGCTTGATCCTAGGGGACCCGGAACCGCGCTTCACTTTCCTAGTGGCTTCTTTGATTTGAATATTCGTAACTTCTTAAAGTTTGAGATAATAATTCACCGTTTTACCAAAAATCCATCATGACTTTAATACATTGTTTACATGACTAACATACTTAACCGAATTCACTCGTGAAAAGGTTAGTGTATAAATGTTAAAACCATTCGTTTGAAAAACCTTATGCTATACAGATTCTTACCAAAAGAGGCACTGTGGCTCCATCAAACATTCAGACATTTTAGACATGGTTTTGTAACTTCAACAAATTTGGCGCAGAAACACCAAACAAGCTTACTTTTGTAATCTCCTCCTGGCTGTGTGATAATCTGTACTTAGGGAGAAATAAATATTTACCTTTAGCACTTTTTTATTTAAAAATCAAATTCCCATATGTGTTTCTGCTGTAGAATGAGAGGACCATGTTTTCACAAAGAAAAAACATCGTAAAACCACACAATGAGGGCAGGGAGTTAACACACAGACGATGTGTTTCCAGGAGGGTGGTTCTCTCTGGGGATGAGTCTGTCAGATCAAAAGAAGACTGGTGGCCACATTCCAGGTTACGTGGTCCTAATTTACAAGCAAAAGCACTTAATTATCCAAAGAGTTGGTGTTGTTCTGTGGAGGAGTTCATTGGAAAGAAGAAGAAGGATGGGTAGATTGACACTTAAAGATCCAATCTGTGAACCGAGAAGGAAAACCAGGGCACCTCAGAGAAGACTCCAGGCGCCAACTCTCACCTCACTTCCTGAGCTTCAAAGGTCAGAGAGAGGCCCTAGCTGTGTTGGGGAAGAAATCAGGATTATATGATGAGCCTGATGTTAGAAAACCAATAAAGGTCTCCTGCAGAGGTGGAGACGATAGGACAATCTCCTACATAGGTGTATCCTATTAGTGGGTTGCTCTACCACATGACCCCCTCATAAAATGTCCATGTCTGTTCTGCTTGGATCAAGTGGTTTATTGTGTCTGAAAACAGTCCAAAGAATTTTTTTTTTCAACATTTCCTGCTCTCGCTGTTTTTTTCCTCCTGCACACAATGACAACAACAGAGCTGCCTCTGTGTCTAAGTTAATGAGGGCACTGGGCTGAGAATAAAAGCAAAGTATCACTAAAGAGTGTTTACTTATGAATCAAAGAGTATGAGACTGGAATAAATTGAGGAGTTTATACAAAAGTAAATATTTCAGTAGATTTGTCAGAGAAGCCATTGTGGTGTATATTTGATTGTTTTTTGCAGCACACATTTATCTGAATTTAAACAACATTTTTGGAGCAACAAAAAGTCAAAATACCAATAAGCCATCATAAAAGTTGATGAATTTCAAATCATCCCCCCTCTCCTCTCCTTTTTCCTTCTCTCTCTCAGTCTCGTACCAGGTGAAGCAGGGGACATGTGAGGTGGTGGCCATCCATCGCTGCTGTAATAAGAATAAGATTGAGGAGCGCTCTCAAACCGTCAAGTGTTCCTGTTTCCCTGGGCAGGTCGCTGGCACCACCAGAGCCAGACCCTCATGTGTGGAAGGTAAAAGCTTCACAATGCTGTGTGTTTGTGTGTGAATGTGTATGTTCATATACCCTGGATCCAGATTATTCTCCATGGCTGCAAATCTCCATTTCTGAAAAGCATAGGGTGCCAACATGCTTGTTCATTATTTTGTAAAAGTATCAATTTGTAAATTTGTGGGGGAAAATGCTACAGCAGAAAGACGTCATCTTATATTGAAAATATGTAAAAAAAATAAAATAAATAAATATAATAAAATTAAAGCAGCACTACAGTATTTTGAAGGATAACTTTTCCCTTGAACAAACTTCAACTACTTAAGTAAGTAATATTCACACTTGACATGAAAATATATTATATATTCTCTCCCAACACATGCAGAACAACACTGCCTTTAAAAAGTTGTGGCCTCAAGGTTGGTGAAACAAGATAGTGACTGGAAGGTTGTTGATTTAATCCCCCACCAGTCTGGGGGAAAAGAGAGCATTGATCTCAATGAACCCCCCTGAATAAATAAAGGTGAAAAAACAAAACTAAAAGAACACTGAAAAAGCATTACAGGTATCACCAACATTAAATCAAATAGAGAAATATGCGAGATGTCTTGTGCATCATTTTATACACGTTTGCCCACAATTGGGCAGCAAGGCCTCTGCAATTCTGCCAAACCTTGGCAACGTGACTAGAATTCAAAGTTCTGTTTTGTAGGTAGTGTTTGTGCCTGCGCAACATGTTTTTGTAATGATTGATACACTGCTGAATCTGAAAGGGTCAACGAGGCTAAAAATGTTTTTAATCATCTTGCATCATTAAAGTTGTTACATGAAAACATCCCACCTAAAACAAATCATTACCACATTCATTTTGAGATGTTAGTAACATAAATAATACATCCACTGCGGAAAAGATTAATAGGTTGCTCTTAATTATAAATTTTCTGCCAAACAAGATGCCTCTCTTCTTCTAGCTAAACCTTTTAAAAGTGGTTGAAAACATGAAGGAAAAATGACACCTGGCCTTTCTATCCTTTCTAGCAAAGCCATACAATAAAGAAACACACAAGGGATCAGACAGACAGAGGATAAACAAATATCAAAAGAGAGAAACATTAAAATATAATTTTAAAGGACAAAGATATAGTGGCATCTAGTATTTGACGACCTTGGAATGAAAACGAGCTGTGAAGTGTGTAGGAGAAACTACAGTTGCTCTTAAACCCAGAAACGCAGTCAGCCTCCACAGAAGGCGACCCTCTACGTAAATATAAAAAACGGCTCAATATAAGGAAAACACAACAATTCCTATATTCAGGTGATTATACACTAATGAAAACATACATATATTATTTTCCATTTCTGCCAATAGATCATCCTAAATGTTACACACTGGACATTAGCACCTGGCGGTAAGAATAGCTATTATCCGAAATTGAGACCATGATTTTTACTGTGGTCTCTTTAGTTTTTCGATAATCACACCATTAAATCACTGTTAATTTGAGAGTTATTGTAATACACACATACTGGAGCACTTTTACGGTTAAATAGTATGTTTTTCAGTGTATAATTGGGATGAAGTAAAACGGCATATCTCTAGCCTGCTTGTCTTACATTTTGTGGTTCATCATATCCAAAAGAGATCATGTAACAGGCAAGATTAAAGCCACTAATGCAGGTAATGGAAGCCCAGTGTCCCCTTGCCGCCTTATACCCTGCGTGCTGTCTGAAAGGAGAAGCAAACATATGACAGCTGTCGGCCAAGACTGGAAATTTAAACTGCACTTTAAAGCCCTGATTTTATTTGGGATGTTTCATATATAGTCGGGCCACTTGAGAATACAACAGATGGTGATAAAGAAAGTATTTTCAAATAAAGAATAAGAGTAACATAAGAATATAGAACATAACATGCGGATGAGAGCCACACCATCGACAAGAGGGATGTTTTGGAGGAAAAAAAGATAAAAACATGAAATTAAATCATTATGTTGTTAATAATATAGAGCAGATTAATAATCCAAGGAGTTCTGCTCACACATACACAACAAGGCCATGACTGTGCTTGTGTATGTGGGAGTGAAGTGATGATAGACAGATGAAAACTGCAAGTTGTTCTCATAGACCTTTGTTCCACCCGTTTGCCTGCTCTGCGAGCTCATGCCCAGCAAGAAACAAGCAGTGTCACTGACCTCTATCATCCACAGACGCTCCGCAGAGATCACAAACACACACACACTAGTGTCAGCCAATCCTGATCCAATCATGCTGTATTTAGCCCTACCAATGAAATACCATAGTTGTCTCATAAAAACGCGAGTAGAGCCAGTGAATCCACGAAGCACACAGGTTATTTCAGAACTGTTTAAGGTCAGCCCGGTGGGGGATGAATCCACACCCCTCTACCAAGACTCAATGACCGATAACAAATCACAAATAGAGTACCTTTGTACGAGATGTGTGGGGCAGTACAAAGTGATGTTTTTTATCAGACTTGTAACTTCAGACTGGCAGTTTTTGGTTTGTTTATTCCCTATGAAAACTGAGTATCAGCACATTATTATCCTAATGCAGTACATTAATTATATGGTAATAATCAAGAGGGGAAAAAACAAACAGTTACCTCAATCACCCCGCCTTAGCTTTAATGTGTTCACTTCTATTGATAGTCTCAATATAGTACGGAACACTTCTTTGGAAATTAGAATAAACATAAAAAACAATCTGCTAACTCAGTTTCTATTTTTTTATAGAGTTGTTACGTGTGGTTAAAGATTTAGCTGTTTTGTTGACACTGACCTTACTTCTTCATTGTTTGGGGTGTAAAAATAATAACAATGATTGAAAGATTATAATTGCATATTCTGACAACATGAAGAAAAGTACTGGAGTTGTAACCTTTCTCTTTGCTACAAACTGGTCCTGCACATTTGATGCATAAAGCATTGTTACTACACTAAATAAGGTTTTTACTAAATTTTATGTTATTAGAGATACAAATATTAATTTTATTTAACAAATCTCATCATTCAATAATAATTCATACACAAAGGCATTTGGTTATCTTCGTAGAGACTTATAGTTACTTTTGTTTTTGGTCAATTTTACCTCAGAGAGGTCAAACTCCCTGTTAAGTCTCGAATAAACAAATGGTTATACCTATATAACTATAAAAACAGAAATTCAAATACACTTATTTGGGTTTGGAAGGGGAAGTGCTGAATAAAAATCTCTGTCAATAACTTTTTTTTCTTCTTTTTTTTTATTGGCACCCTATTTTCACACTTTGGCTTGTTTCTTAGTTTTTTAAGTGACTCATTAATTCCTTTGAAATGAAACAAGCAAATGTGCTTGTATTTCATTGTGAACAAACTCTGACTTTCTCTGCAGCCTGCATGCACTCTTAGTGTTCAAGCGCCTTCCGTGTTCAATAATCACAACTATCCACAGAACACCCGACTCACCGCCTCCATCCAGCGTGTTGCTGTTCCTGCATGTGGCCAGTAGACGGTGCTTTTCCCATTCAAATGACTCAGTCACAAACATACCTGCTAGTTCATTTCAGCACTATTTTCACCCGAAAAGAAAAGTAGATTTGTTGTTTAACCTCTTTGATGAGTTCCTAGATGGGAACAATTGCTTGATAATGATAAAATCAGGCAACCATAGCAAAGATGATTGGCTTTGTAATGAAAGTTGGGATAAATAAGGAATCATGTGAGACTTTGCTAACCTTTCAGAATAGGCATTACCCTGATGCTTCACTTTTGTTTGCTCACTTCTCCTTAAAGACTTGGTATAGTTTGCTAAGAGTAAGGACTGACACTGATGAGAAACTAACAGACAGACAGTTATTACTATTACTGAAAGTCATTCAATGATAAATGCTTTTTGATGCTCACTTTTTCTGTTTCTCCCTCACACACATACGCACAAACAGCTTAGTTCCCCCATCACAGCAGTCACATGGTTTTCTAATTTCCTATTCAGATCTCACCTCTGAATCTCCCCTCCTCTCACTTCCAAATCCAGCAGCACTTATCTCATGAGTCATGCTTGACCTCTGAGTTCACAGTTACAAAAGATCTCACCTCATCCAACACTGTCCTACACACACAAACACACATCCCCGCACGCTACTCTCACCTTTTAAGCTTGAGCACTGATGGAAAGAGACAAACCCTTCTCAGTAGCCAGCCTTTGTAGAAAAGCCATAGTGTAAATGGAGTTACATTATTGATGCTGGCTGAAAGAGGAGTAAATGGCAGCAGGTCCCATTACTGGCTGCTACATGTTGGGGCCCATTACTGTCAGACTTACTTTTATAAGTAAACTCCATTCATCAAAATCTTATTTTTTTTCATTTATCACAAAACGCTCTTCTCTCTGTCATCATATTCTATTAGTATTAGTGTTTGTAGTGTTGTGTGTGAATGAAGATTTAGTGCTGTAATTTTTGGATTTGGAAAAGTCTAAATCAGAGTGTGAAGTCTTACCAGAAGTAAAATGTGATAATATCTAATAAATAGAAGTCATCTGTTTCTAAGAATACTCTACAGGAGAAATGTACGGTGTCCACTTGTGTGTCTGTGTCTCACAGATTTCACATCTGTGGGCAAAAGAACAAACTAGCTTGTCTGAGAGAAGACAAAATGTGTGTCCACTGTTTGGTTTTACTGCAGTAGCATTCAGGATAAATAAAATGTTTTTGTCTCAATTGGGGTTCTGCCAAGTTTAGTTAAGCTCACAGGGTTAGTTAGACATGTGTTGGTTACGACTTGGGCTTGTGTGCACCTCTAGGGAATGAATGTTCAAAAAGAAAGCTATCCTCTCATAAAAAGTTGAAAAAATACTCCTATTTCATGGACGTGTCATTATCAATGCAATGTATAAAATATGAAATTATATACACACATTACATTATTTCATTCAAACTTGTAAAATATGTCAAATAAAAATAAATAAAAGTATGTATGTATTAGCATGAAAATGTACTAGAGCACGGGTCTCAAACTCAAATTG